CACACACTTATGATAAATGAGGCCCCAGGACTTTTTATCATTTCTAACGTTCTCTCAGAGCAAATATTTTATGTAGAGCTATAGAATTACAGCATAGTCATTGTTTTTAACTCGTGTATGGTGAGTTTGTCACCCAGATTTGAGAAGTGCAATGCTGGAAACTGCTTTCAAGTGTTTGTTAATGTAACGTTAATGAGCTGCGTTTCAGGCACTATTTCACACTTGTTCTACTGAAAGCAAAAACAGGAAATATTTGAATGAAAACAACTTTACTGGGAATTTAGCTGTACTTACATGCAGTATATGTGAAGAGAGCCACACTATCCACTCACTGGGCATTCACGTATATACTGTATGTTGGGAGTGCATGAAGACTCTTGAGTTCACTCTTGCAGACAGCTCAAGGCTGAGACATTTTAGAGTTAGCAGAAGAAGTTCTACAAAGTAAATAAACCTGGTGGATTTTGAGGCAGCTGCTCTCTCTGAATGGCTCACCTGGAAGCAGCGGGCAGGGAAGTGGCAGCATTATTCAAATGTTTTAGCTTTACAATTACTGGTTCCTCAGTTTCTACAAATAAACAGGATACAATTAGAAATGGCTTAAAGTTGTGGGGGGCTACATTTCCATTTCCATATTCTCACAACTTTTATTTTACACCTAAAACACACATTAAAATTACTTTTCACCATCTGTAACTCTGCAGTTTGTTTAAATGAAAGCTAATAAAAAAGCGACCCCTACTTACGCAACCAGCCCTGACACCACACTGACCCCACAAAGAATTTTGCCATACTGCTCCAGTCTGTTTGTTTAGACAGTGTGGGACTGACACCCACATGTGCTTCCAAGACATTTCACCTTTGTCTGGCACATCAATGTAAATCTTCAGGAAGATGGAACTAAATGCCACCAGGAACTCCAAGTGCTGTTTGGTTTAGATTGTTGAAGCACCTGAGTTGTATTCCCAGCCATATACAGTTAATGCCTTCAGTTGTTTATTCTTTATTTCCAACAGAAGTGTTTTCCCCTCTCCCACTTCCCTAACTCTGTTTAGATGAACAAATAGTCCTGATAATGTCCCCATCTGGAACTCTTCTGTGGCTTGATGAGCACACTAGCTTCCTGCTTGATGGAATGCTTGTGATTCTGGGAAGATTGTGGATGAGAGTATAAAGGGGGGAAAAAAATAGTGCATGCAGGTGTAGGTTCATGCCAGTCAGCCCCAGCTGTTGTTTAAGTCGTGCTGTGATTGCCTTCAGATACTCGCGGTGCGCACAAGAGGGAAATGTGATAACTGTCAGGGAATCCTAAGCACCGCCATATGCTTTGGGTTAACTGCTTTGAACCGCCTCCTCCACTCATCATGTGTGGTAGCCGTCGCCTGACTATTTTGATTCATGCTCAAAGCCGCTCCGTTAATTTGATCAGCGGTTCAACCAGTTTCTAATGACACACAATTTCTCCGATCAGGCTAATTGGGGATTGCGAGAGTAATGACAGTCAGCTGTGGCGGAGAATATGGGGTGTGCTTGCTTCGAGGCCTCTATGCTGGGAGGAGTAGCTGGGTGGAGTTGGCCCTCGAAGTGGCAGTCTGCCTATCGAAAACTGGGCCACAAACCAAACCAGACTCCAACAATTAGACAAGTGAGCAATTCAATGGACAGATGCATATTCAGGATCATTTGAGGTCAGTTTGTTAGCTCTTGACTTGCTGAGATACATTTTTCAGAGGACTCGTAAAAAAAAAGAGGATTTCACAGTTGGTGATGCTGCTCCTGCAGTCCAGAACTAGTAAATTAGACATGAATTCCTTGCATCCCATCTAACCCAAGCAGACTAAATTAAACACAATTCAGTGGCGCATTGCCTGCAGCCGTGTTCACATCTGCCTGTAGATTTAGACACTAATTCCCAAGGTGGGAGATAATCCAAAGGTCTAAGGTTTACTGCACAGCTGCTGCAACCTGAGACAATCTTTTGGAAGATCTTGTATCTTTTATACAACTGAAACAAAGCAGATTGTAAAATACAGTCCATTTTTGGACACCAACACAGCAAAACCATTAACATACTTTGTGAGGTTGGAACTCAAAGGCTCTAATAAACAGCATTATTTAAAGAAAAAAAATAAGTGTCCTAGAAAGGCTCTTAAAAGACATACCACTATAAAGCTCAAATATCATGAACAATTGGATCCTTGTCTGTTTCCTTTACAATCAGAACAAAAGAGCTTAAGCTTCTCTGAGGGCAATTCTTCTGAAAAATGTTTCAGTCTCTTATCTTTTAAAAGTTCTGAGCAAAAAAAGTTTTTTTTTTTTTATTTTCTTGAAAACACCAGCTCAAAAGCATTAAATTCGAGTCAAAAATGGAAATGTGGATTTATGACAAATGTTTCCTTCATATTCAGTGGGATTCACAAGTAATCCTTGGGCAACGTTACATGAGATTTATTAGAAATATGCATCTGAAGGTTGTTGTCATCCATTTTTATCTGATTGCATTTTCTACTTTGACAGATTTCTTAGTGCAGGAAATTGGAACTGACTGCAAGATGGTGATTGTACATACTACTATTCTATTCTCGTATTTAAGGTTCAAGGTTTAAGGTCTTTTATTGGTCACAAACACAGTTATACACAGTATAACGCGTAGTGAAATGCGTTGTGTACCTGTTCTACACCGAAACAATAATAATAAGATAAATAAAGATAAATAAGAATAAGGAATAAAACACACAAGAAGTAAATATATATACATATAGAGAGAGAGACTATTCTGTACTGCATTTAAAATACAGTCACGACTGTATTGGTTAAGTCTGTTAAGTTAACTTGTGAGCTTTGTTGTAAAGTGAGCTGTAAACACTAAAACGTTCTCAGTTTTGTGTATATCAACATGTCTGCATCATGGCTCCATATGGAAAAAAACTCGAGCAAAAAATAAGGAACAGTACACAGAAAGACCAGCTTAAAATCAGCCAATCAGAAGACCAAGTAAAAATCTGTCAAAACATAACTGCAGTACTATACAGGAGGTATAGAAACAGCCATTGGGAATTTCACTAATAATAGATGGCTTTTATTGTAGTTCCTACCGTCAGGCCTGTATTTTAATATAATAAATCTGAACTGTTAGTTTCTAACTTTGCATGACAACAAAATGCTCTGTTGTTCAACTTCAGAAGTAACATGATTCCTGTAAGGTGACACAGTTCAGTGATTTTGCACAGGGAATACTCACTTCTGTTGTGTGCTGTATAAGCTAAATATTTACCATTTCAAGTTAATAAAGTGATAAAATGGCCATGATGTGTTTGCAGCTTGTTGTGCTGACCCAGTGTGCTCAAAGGAAAATTAACACAATTAATTACAATTACTCCTACTCAAACTTCTTTGATTGAGATTTTTATTTTTTCTGTCTTGTTTTATTTGCTAGTTAAAGTCCACAATTTTACCACTAAATATTGGAAAATATCAAGCACCAGAGGATTAAACAGAGCATGTTTGGCAAAGTGAAGGTATTAATGCAGAATGCTGCTCGGAAAGTCAAGCAGATTTGTTAAGCCTACCAGTAAATACCATCAAAACCACGGAATCTTGTGTCACCTCGTTTTAATTTAGTGGCTTTATTCCGGAGACTGATGATCATATGATTTACTGTGAAGACAGCTCACGCACGCACTGTCAAAAACAAGTATCATATCACAAATGCACACTCATGGTTTGCTCAAAGTGCTAAATCTGAGCCCGATGAAAATGTTGTCGACATCACAGCAGCCACAGAGGAAGAAAAGGGGGTTAGCTCAGCGCTGCTTTCATTACCAAGGAATCTCCACATCCTTAACTGTGTTCTCATGCACTGAAAGAAAGGCGTCTTCTGATGGAGCAGTCCTTTTAAATTCAGTTTTCTCTGTTGCTCAGACATGAAGTGCCTTGATGTTGAGATGTATTGATCGCGTTGCAGTAGGACACAAATTCTCCAAAGCCGGAGCTCCCGCATACCGTCTTTGATTGATCAATCAGCTGCAGCACCATTTGAATATCTCCAGTCATTCACAGATCACAGTAGGTTTGCTCACCGAGCTTCTCTTTATTTTGATGCATCGAGCGGGAGCCTTGATTACCACTAATCCCCGAAGTACAGACTTTTTTTCATTTTTCCATGATGTCAGTTTCTTTAGTAAACCATCTAAAGACAGCAGATAAGCAGAGGAAAGTAACAGTGCATATGATACATCCTTTACCTGACTTTCAGAGTAAACTAAGGCCAAACGAGAAAACAGGTGGACACAAGATGTGGCTCCAAACTGTACTCGAGGAGGTTCTGGGTCACAAACAGACTGCTTTATAACACAAAGAGGTCAAAGCACTGTGAGCGATCTGATTCAGGCCTCTTCAGCCTCATGGGGAAAAACATGCATCACTGCAGCATAATCAGTTGTCAGGGTGGAAAATGTTGACTTCATCTGAAGGAAGAAAGCTGGAGAACATTTGGGTGGAAGTTCGATGAGGCAGCACAGAGTAACGCTGGTTAACCCTGACGCTGGTGATGACTGCCAGGCTGAACAGAGAGGAGTCATAGACACTGAGAGTTCTCAAAGTGTGACTCTTTCAGACTGAATCTGCTGAACTAATGGGGGATTTCCTTGTGGCTCCAGATGTTTCTTCTTTCAGGAAGATGAGACTGCGGCTGTGTTCCCAGAGCGCTGACTCCAAGTTTCTAGTCTAAGAGTAATGGTGACCTACTTCCTTCATCCAAGATGCAAAGATTTTTATCTGTGCTCTGCTCTCTAAGGCCAACTGAACTAAACTGACACTCGACTTTTGGATAATGTCATGACAGAAAAGCATATAAAGTTGCAAACTTGTGTTCATTTCCAGAATCTTTTTTGGCAAATACTGTGGATTTCATTCACAGTTGCAAACACTCTTAAGTCATCATTTTCTTCCATCTTTTGCTTTCCTACATCAGCAAAATAAAAGGTTTGTTTCGACTCTCAGCTTAGAAACAGGAGGAAATCTTTTATTAAAATATGGACAATTATTATGCATCACCGTCTGTCAAAGACAAATAATTTACAAATGAGGACATATTACCTGTCTCTGCTCTTTGTAGGAGCAGATTTGAAGAAGCTGTGGGCAAGAAAATATTCAACTACGGGAATATCTGATGGTTGCAATGGAAACACACAGAAAATATTTAACATGGACTTCAATGAAATGCAAATGATACCAACAGATCCAATTAGGAGTTATAAAAAAAGGAAAATCATCTAAAAGAAATCTTAGCAACATTATACATACTTTCCATCAATTCTGTTATTAAGTTAAACAATATTTCCTAGTTAGAAAATGAGAAGTTATACAGTTCTTTTCAATATTTGACATAATCTGTCATTGTCAGAAGCTGTCATCAAAGCAAAGAGATGTGTACAGCTGAGGATGCTACAGAGAGTCTTTGCAAACTGATCAAGAAAAGATCAAAGAATAAAATGCTTTAGAGGCAAAGCCTGATGCATTCCTGGTTGTACAGGCCAAAGCTGCTGAGGAATATAAAAATTGTGAAATTTTTAGGTTTGCAGTACACAGATGCTTTAGCTGTTAGGATGCAAAAAGCTACAGAACATTGTTTAAATTTGACAGGCGAATTAGACTCTAATCAATCAAAAAATTAATACTCATAGGTGTAAATGGCACCATTGTGTGGCTGGTGGTTTTAATGTGGGCCTTTATCGAACAAATGATTGAATTATGCTGTAGGTATTGGCTGTTTCTGGAAAATGCAGTTTTACTCGCTCTGCTCCTGCAACCTGGAATGAGCAATCTTGATGCTTGATTTATTTTTATCCTTTGGGCAAATCAGATTTTTAATTTAATCTTATTTTACCTTCAGCTGCTCTTAAAGGCTGCTTTAATTAATGTTTTCATTGTTTTATTAACTTTGTCTTTAAAAAAATGTATTACTATCTAAGTTTGTTATTTGTGCATCTACATCTCTTATTTTCTTATTGGCTACCTTGTAAATGAGGTCTTCATACCCCATGTACTCTGAAGTGTAAAAAAAGGCTGAATGAATGAATGCATGATTGAATTTGACATTTTTGTTCCTAATTCTCAAACTATGAGGCATACAAGGAAACTGTTTTGGATCATTTTTTTTAAATAGTCCAGGCCCCACAACATAAATCCTGCTAATTTTTCCTGCACATATTTTCTAGCATGTAGTTGCATTCTATAACGCCTCTAAATTTCCTTTTGCTTACACTGAAGTTGCAAAATTGCAATCTTGGATGAACATCTACTTCTCCACCCCATCTATTCTTTGTTATACACCATTTGGTGACTCGTTGCCAAATTGGTGTGGCCTATGTGCTGAAATGTGTGGGGTCTGTGTGACAGTAGTCGTGGGCTATGGACCATGACATATAAAGATATACATTCACACATGAGCTCTGAATGACTGCATTGTGCCCCTGCAGCAACATATGTTGAAACAGCTGCACTCATATGCCTGCCAAAAAATCGGAATGATTGCCCAATAGTGTATTTTGAGCTCTGGATGCTTTAAATTTCTGAACAATTTATATTTTTAAGCTAAAGAGTTTAAAGCACTGTACAGCTTTACTGATGGCAAGCACTCTCTAACTTGATTGGTTGCAGGTTTGTTACTATAATAGCAGGAATATTGAGACACTCATCTTTGTGTCGCATTTCCCTGAGTCACTTCAACGATAAAGAAGTTTAGAAATGTGTCCATATATATTAATTAACTATGGCTTTATTATGGCATTTGGTGCAATCATTTATTAGTACCATTACCTGGTGTGATAGAGTGCCAGAGACATCCAGCACACGCAAGCCTTTGGCAATCATAGCCATAAAATCTATCTAACTGCTTAAAATTTGAGAATGATTGATATTTCTCAACTGGAAATAATATACAGATTGATGAAAATAGTAACCTATGGCACACAAAATATCATCAAATTGGCCTCACTCTCAAAGCACCACTGTAGGTTTTAATCAATTCATTATTTAATCTTTGTGACAGTAGTTTTTACTACATTTTAAAATTAAAAACATTAGTTGCTTTTAATCAGGCAGTTGCTTGGGCATACAGTATAGCAATGGAACATGATGAACAGTGAAATTCTTTAGAACACATTGAGAAATGTTGCTTTAGAGTCTATGCCAATGGCATTCCTGGCTGTGCATCGATAGATGCCAGCGTCTCTTTGTGTCGGATTCTGGATAATGAGGGAACCTTGTGGATGGATGTACTTGTTTCCAAAAAGTCGTGGCTGCCCACTGACAGCCAAACGGGCTTTACCAGGTGTTTCCCATGCAACCTCCACTTTAGGGATCCCAGTTGCTACACAGTTTAACTGAACAGCAACACCGCGTTTAGCATAAGTCACTGAGGGAGGACCGTTGGTAATTCGAGGTGGGTATGCAATCACAGTCACCGATACAGAAAGAAGAGAGCTGCCATACTCATTAGCAGCTCTACAAACATAGGCCCCCCGATCGTAGATGGATACCTGATGGATGGCAAGTGTCCCATTGGGCAGTATTGCATATCGTCCAGCTCTCTGTGGCCTGTTGAGGACAACCCCACTGGGTAGAGTCCAGGCCAATCTAAGGGGTTCGCCAACGGTTTGACAGTGAAGCAACAGTGTTTCCCCATTCATGACGCTGACAGGAGAGTTATATCTATTGTTGATCTCTGCCTTTCTTCCAGGGGACAGTGTGACTGTACGCTCCACAGGCCCTCCAGAAGTATGCCCCAGACAGCGGTACATACCAACCTCAGCAATAGAAGGGTTGCTGATGATCAAAGAGCCATCGAGCCGGTGGAAAAACTTAGAGAACCGAGCACCACTCCGCAAAGGAGTGCCGCTGGGTAAGATCCAAGTGACGTGAGGTAGTGTCAAGCCCTCATAGGAGCAATTCAAAGTCATATCATTCCCAACAGTCAGTGACAGGCTATCTGTTTTGGAACCTCTAATTTGTGGCCTCTTGACAACTTTTTTCACATCCAAGTTAACCACCAGCCTGACTTCCCCTCCTTCATTACGAGCAATACAAGCCAGTTGCCCTGAGTCTGTGATCTTGGGTGACCTGATTTCCAAGGTACCATTCTGATGAACTGCCATCCTATTGCTGTAGTAAGGCGCAGGAAGTATTACATTTCCTGGAAGAACCCACATGATGCGAGGGGAGGGTGTTCCCTTTGCCAAGCAGTCCACCAGCTTTTGTTGATCCTGGACTGCGGTTACCTTGATGGCATTGGCAGTTCCTCTTAAGCCATTAATCACTGGAGGAGTTACCAAGACCTCCAGCTTGGTGACTTTATGATCTTGTCCTGCATTGTTCCTAGCCATGCAGGTGTAGTTACCTCCATCAAAACGTTGGGCCTTTTGAACAACCAGTGTCCCATCATCCAGAACCTGGTATTTGTCTAATGCAGGTGAGATCACTTTATTTGTAGGGGAAATCCATGTGATGGTGGGCCGTGGTTCACCTTTGGCATAACATCTTATAGTCACTGTCTCACCATAGAAAACCCTGGCGGTCTGCTGGTCTTTACCTTGGATTTGTGGCGGAGAAGTTGCAACCTTGACCTTAACTCTGACCTTCATCTCATCTTTGCCAAGTTGGTTCTCTGCATAGCAGGTGTAGTCACCTTCTTCTGGCATGCCGACATCGTTGAAGAAAAGCGTCCCATTGTCAAATACCACATACCTGCATTAAATTTAGGAAGAAAAGAGGAAACTGATTGTTATACTTTAATGAAACAGTGCCTTCAATGAATTTAGGTAGAGGATAATGGGTTACTGTGAACAATCAGCAAAAAAGTTAAATTAAATTTGTATTTGTGATACTTTGACATTCTATGGGTTCAGAGACCGTCACTCTTCTCGGGTCCAACCAGACTGAATGGACCGCTATTAGAAGTGAACAATAATGAGCGCTTAAGCTTGTTTTCATCTCTCTTAGAGGCAGAGTGGTATTGTAGAGGACCAGACCTTGCTAACAATAATTACAAGTGAAATCAGACTAACAGGTTAGAAAAAATTTGTCCGTTTTAACAGTTGAAACCACAAAGTATCTCTGCTCAATCTACAAGTAGAAGTTTACACACCAAACCAGTGTATTTTAAAACTGAAAAGTGCAGCTATGTGGTAATGATGGGGGTTTGGGGTGGATGGGTAGGAGTGACCTGAACTTTGCATTTCCTGCAATAATGTGGTATCACAGATATAGCTCATTTACAAAAGAAAGAATAAAGAAAAGAAACATATTTCCTTCATATGATGTTTTGACTGAAAGTGGGTAGTGAAGTTTTTCACATTATTGGAATGTTTGGTCTGTAATAATCTTTAAGGCACATAAAGGCACACATATGTCAAAGGTGCTGGTATTTGTTGATCTGTGGGTCTTTTGTTCTGGGTTCAGTCAGAAATGAGTCAGAAAGAAACACTTATGATTGACCAACCTTATTTCACTGACAAAGACTATTTACAACATGTTCCATGTGTTGTTCAATTTTTGTATTGTAGCAACGTTACTACTAACTCATACCTGCGACTGCGCCCCATGCTGATAGTATTTCTCTGTTTGACCGGGTTGACCATGGTGCCATCCGGCAGGGCCCAGCTGATCTCGGGGTTGGGGAGACCAGAGGCCACACAGTCCACCTTCAGGTCGCCACCGTACACCACCTCCTGCCTGGATCGCTGCTGCTTCTGTTCGATCTTGGCTGGTCTGGTCAGCACATTGACACGCAGTGGAACATAATCATCACCCATCTTGTTACGTGCCACACACAGGTAGTCGCCGCTGTCTGTGTTGGTAACAGAACGAACGGTTATCGTGCCATTGGAGTAAACCTTGATCCTGGGGTCAAAACTGTAAAAAAACCCAAAACAAAACAAAACAAAGAAGCAACATTTAACGAAACGTCAATGAATGATTATTGAGAACATTTGGGATTTATATAATACTTCCATCCATCCAGTTGTTATCTCTGCCTTATCCTGTCTGACATTGTGCCAACACAAAGAGACAAGATAGCCATGCATGCTGACATTCACACCTACAGCCAATTTACAATTATGAATTAACCTACCATGCACATTATCTGGACTGTGGGAGGAATAATGCCCCGACAGAAAGGCCCCAATCAGCAGGTTCAAACCCAAAACCTTCTTGCAGTGAGGCAGCAGTGTGAACCACTGCATCCCTGTGCCACCACAGGATTTATATATCAATAATTAGTTTATTTCAGCATTATCTCACCTGTACTGAGCATCCACTAGCTTCTTTGAGGGTGTCCTCCAGATGATTCGGGGCTCTGGCTCTCCTGTTGCCACACAGTTGAGTAGCAGCCTATCCCCATAGATCACATCTGTTCTCTGGGGAGACGAGGACGTGATACTGGCCTTGGTGGAAGATGGATTCCTCCTTATGCTTAAGATCACAGTTCTCCTGCTGGATGCCACTATGTTACTGGCTGAGCACTCATATCTCCCAGCATTTCTGGGGCCCAATGCCCGTATGTAGAGGGTTCCATTGGGGAAAACAATGAGATTCTGTCCAGTAACTAACTGGGAAGCTGTGAGCTGTACACCATCTGGTGTGATCCAGTGAACGGCAGGCTGAGGGGCACCTGTGGCAGTGCAGTGGATGTAGGCAGTGGTGCCTTCTGGAAGGGTGGTGTTCTCATGTTGTGTCTGCTTAATCACAGGTGGCAACGCTGAGACGTAAAGACGTACTGAGACAGTGTCAGCTCCAGCTGGACTACTGGCAATGCACTTATAAATCCCTCTGTCAGTATAACTGGCCTGGCTGATCCGAAGGGTTCCGTTGTTCATGACAGTTACACGCTGCTGAATGGAAAAACCAACAGCAGCATCCATGTGGACTAGGTTAGGGAGCACCCACGTGACTTGAGGCTCAGGATGTCCCTCCACTTTGCACTCCAAATCAACTTTATCACCGAGATGCACAGTGATGTCTCTGTGCCGAGGCTGGAGGACGCGTGGATGCTGAGACAGGACCACAAGGTTGACCACCATCTTGTCTATGCCATACTGGTTCTGGACTGTGCACAGGTACTGGCCTGCGTCCACGAGCTGTGTGTTCCTGATGATTAGTGTACCATTTGGGTGGACCTCAAACCTCAGGACCCTGGTGTTCTGAGCAATACTTGCCCCTGCACACATGAAACAAAATACAGGTCAAACATACAGTGACAAGGAGAATATTTGAATCTAACTAGCAAAACGCTTTTCACACCCAAAATTAGTACAGGTGCAGTCGGTTTACTTATCTTTCATTACTTATTTGTTTATCAGGGAGCTACCTACTCAGCTTTTTATAGTGAACCTAATTCTATTTTAATGTGGGCAAAAGCAATGTAAATACAATGTTTCCATGAACCTATTGAACTCCAAGCAGAGGTATCTGGGCTTTTTATTCATTGTGGCCTCATTTTTCACTGCAATATAAAGTCTTGCAACTTAATGGAAACAGCACAACCATGACTAGAAGTAGAGAGAACTGAAAGATGTCTCTTGTGCAGTATAACACATTTATATTGATATTAATCATAAAAAAGGAAAAAAAAAAAAAAAAAACTCTATTATTTACGACAGAGTATTTTTTTTACACTACTCTGCACATTAACTCTGGAAAGATATTTCACCATGCTGAATATATCTTCCTTGCTCCTCAGTATACTGTTTTTGAATGGTTCTGCATTTATTTTTTCAATCAAGTATAGTTTAATTTCCTCTCTGTGTCTCTTGTCATTTTCTCTTCAATTGTTTTTTTTACTTTTATGTGTAGCACATTCCAAAATGAATGTAACTGTAATTGAGTGTATCCTTAAACACAGTTCAGGTTGCTCAATTATGATCTTCCCCTGTCCCAACTGTAGTTTCCAGGTATAGAAAGAAAATGTCCAAAAATGTTAATATAGTAAAGAGTTTTTGGCAATCATTCTATATTAAGCTTCTGTCTGGCAGTAGGTTTCAAATTGGTACCAAGTTTTGAAGTGGATTATCTACTCCTACTTGTAGCTATGACAAATACTAAATTGCTTGATGTGGATTATCCCCTTTGTACCATATAATAATATATTGTTTTTGTGTTTTTTATTGCTATTTTCACTGACTCTGGGTTATTATTGAGGCTGCAGAGGCACCACTAGAACTAGAACTGAATACAGCCATACTTACAGCTGTTATACTGTGTTGTGTTTTCAACATATATTAAAGCAGGCTGAAAAAGAAATTAAAAATGGATGTTTGTCTGCTCTTCACTGATCTTGAAGATAATTTGTCTACCCTTCCCACAAATTTTGCAGATAATCCACTATTTGATATACTCTATGTATGACTATTTCCATTCAAACATCTGTTTAAGTTGTATTGGTGTAATGTTAAACATCTGCATCGTACATGTTCTTACAAAATAAAACAGATGTGGAAGCCTGCAGGTGTCTCAGCTTTATATTGTTCTGAATCAGCATCTGTGTAGTGTCATAATATTACAGGGTTCTCAAACACTGGTAAATATTTCTATTTTGAATCAGGTTCTTTGCACCTAACTTTCTATATGTACCTAAAGCTGAGTTATGAGGTTGAGTCATACATACCACTGGCAACTTTAGTCCATGAGAGGAAGGGCATTGGCTCGCCTTGAGCCTCACAAGGAAGCTGAGCATCTGTTTCAGCTTTCACAGTGAAAGTCTGGAAATTGTTCTTAGTTATCCTTGGCTTCCCTCTTGGAATAGATTCTCGTCCAGGTAGTTGGTCCTCTCTGGATGCATCCCGAGTGCTTGTTAGCAGTCTGTCTTTGGATGGATTAGATGCATAAACTGTTGGGGCAGGGGTGGGTGTCTGCTCGACTAAATACCTGCTGGGCAGTTCCATGGCTGGGAAAATTGGATTTTGGCTGGCTTGTTTGTGGTCAGGTGGCTGGGTTGCAGGATGGAGGTTTGCTGTTCTCTTGGGCTCTGATGTGGTGGTGATGGGCTTTGTTTTGACCTCACTCTGGGTGACTGTGATCCCGGGAGCCTCCTGGGTGGATGCTCCCAGTGAAGTGTTCATTTTAGGACTTGTAGAAGATGTTCCAAGTTGTGTGACATGTGGCGAGACTCTGAATGACATTAAAATATCAGGACGTGATGACAAAGCAGAGGGAGGTGTTGTTTTTATGGTATCTGTAACAAGAGCATCAACTTCTATGTTTTCATTTTCTGTTGGATTTTGATCCACCTCTGAGCCACTACTTGTGGTTTCATTTTGACCAGGGTCATGATACAAATTTTCAGGTGACTTTGTTGTAACCTTTCCTGTCTCAGAATAATCCAGCGTGCTTGGAATCAGAATTAATCCATTGGAAGTGTATCCAAAAGTTGTCGTGATTGTGTTCTCAGGGAAAGAAGCAGCTGCACTGGAGGAGGACGGCAGTGGTGAGAAATCTATTCCAGACTCTTTCAAAAGCATCTTTCCACCCGTTTCAGTAGGTGTGTATTGATAACTTGATTGATTCTCTTGAACATCTGTTTCCACTTGTGTTACAATGTGAACACCATCAAAAGTATTGTCAGACTGTGATCCAGAATGTGTCTCTTCAGAGGGATTAACAGGTGGAAGATCTTGAAACCTCTGCTGCACGGTTGATGTGAGCATATCGAAGCGCTCCGGAGGAGATGCACTTTCTGAAAGGGCTGTTTGAGAACTCGTCTTTCCGTGACCCACTCCTGGAGAGGTTGCTGGAAATGATGGTGCCACTGATGTGCTCTCGAGCTGTGGTTTGGCTGGGGGCAGATGGCTGTCCTTTGTTTCGGAGGGAGAAGCTGGTAGTGAGTAGGGTTCGATGGCTGCCTCATGGTCATGCCTGGAGACTGTGCTGTCTTTATGACTCAGACTGCCTGACGACGCTACTTGGCTGCCAGAGAACGGAACAGTGGTGCTAAAATCAACTGTTGTAACCTCTGATGGTTTTATTTTTAGCTCTGTGGAGGCGGTGGTCTTTGCTGTTGCTAGGGGAGCAACTGAAGGTGTGGTGGCCGTAAACTGGTTGGGTTTATTCAGCTTTTGTCTCCTTCTGTTTGGCTTTCTCTTCCGACCCCCATTCCTTCTCCTGGAGTTTGGTTGTCGGAGGTGGGATTCCCCCTCCGACCCTCCCACAGTACTGGGCACAAATGTAGTTGTGGGAGATGCTGTCGTGAGCAATGCTTCAGGCTGCAGTTCATGAAGTGTTGTTTCCTTTGACTGAGTGTGCAACTGTGATGCTGTTGTAGTCTCACTAAGATATTTTCCATTTTCTTCTTGGCTTGTGACAGATTCATTTGGGTTGGCTGAAGGGATAATTTGACTTCCCCTAAAAAAGGCTTCTCTGTCATTATTTGAGCTGGCAACAGCATTATGCCTATCTGCATTCTCACTCCTCTCCGATGCCTTAGACCAATCAGCTGTTTGGTCTCCGTCAACATCTGTCTTTGTGCTATGGTTCTCTTGTAGAGAAAATGTACCGCTGCTGCCTGCAATGTTTGGGCTAGCCTGCCAGAAAGTGACAGCGTGTAGAGGAACAGATGTGGTCTGTGGGAGGAAAAATACACTGTTTGAACTTGTGTGTAAGTCCAAGTTTGTATCATGGGTTGTGTGCTGTACACTGTATGTGCTCTGTGTTGTGTATGGCTCTGTTGTGGCATGTATGTTGTGTGTGTGCTGACTGACTGAAGTCATAGAAGTCACATGTGTGTCTTTCCCTTGTGTGTAATGTCTAGTAGCTTGCAATTGTGTCTGTTGTATAGGAGCACGTGGTGTTGTGAAGTAATTCTGGCTGTCTTTTTCCTGCATAGTCACACCATCTGATGACCCTTCAATAGTTTCTTGTGAAAGGGTTGTCTGCTGTGTTGCTTTAGTCTCTGTTGTGTGTTGAACTGGGAGTGGTGTCACAGTATTCTGGGCATTTCTGTCTCTGATCTTAGCCAAAATATCAGCCCATTTCTCTGGGTCTATTTTGCTCTTTGACATATTAATCCTCCTTCTGTTGTCAACTGTAACCTTCCTGTCTTCAAACCGTGATCCTGTAGGTTTCCGAAGCACTGGCGGCCTCCGCCACATGTTCCTGGATGGATGCATGCCCCTCCTGCCAGGGGCGACACCTGCTGGGATTCTCCTTCTCAAAGGATCCAGGCGGCTCACTGGAGGCTCCTCCTGAATCACCTCCATGTCCCCTGATGCCTCCTCTGTATCCTCTGTTGGGACTTTAATCTGTGTGTTGACCCCTGAGGCTGACTGAGGTCTTGCTGGAAACCTCCTCAAAGGCCTTATCAGTCCCGTCCGCCTGACAATGGTGATTTTAGTAGCCAGTGTGTCAACACCATGTTGATTAATAGCAATGCATTTATAATAACCACTGTCTAATAACTGAGTCTGTGGTATGTGTAGAGTGCCATTTGAAAAGACTACAACTCTGGAAGAGTTGGCTTGAAAACTAACTATGTTGCTGCTTGGTAGAATCCAGTTAATTTCAGCATCAGGGGCACCAGATGCCACACAAGGCAGGGAAACAGAGTTGCCTGCAAATCCCTCAATAGGTGAAATTGATGTGTCCTCCCCAGGGGGAGGACTGGAGGATTCCTGCACTGTCAGATGGAACGGCAAGACAGCAAAGTCTCCATGAACCCTTGCGATGCAGTAGTAAATTCCTGCATCTGTGTGGCTGACAGCTTTAATGACCAGCCTTCCATCACTGGACACAGACATGCCGTTGTCTGGACGGCTGTACGGTGCCTTCACTTTGGAGCCGTCTGGCAACATCCACTGTATAACCGGTTGGCCAGAGCTGTGCACGCTACAGTACATTTGACTTGGTTTCCCCAGGACAGCACTCAATGCTTTACTAGTCGTGTTTGTTGACTCGATCATGACCCATGTCCTCCTCTGCCTCTGCACCAGCTCCGCCTCCACCGTCTCTGACAGGTCTGTGCTCAGAATCAATTTTACCGTCTTGGCAGATGACTGAAGTCGGTTCAGCTGAATGTCTAAAGATGTCCGCATCAGCCATGCTGGTTGGGCCATCATGTTCACTTTAACACCTGTGTAGTACAGCGCGTCCTTCTCAGAGTCCTGTCTGTATACATAGGTTGGGTGAGGGTTTTCGCTAAGCATAATTCCTCTTTGTAAGTGGGCTGGCACGCTGCTGTAGTATGCGATTAGCCTCCACAGTCGCTCATATTTTTCTCTATCAACAGGACATTCAAGATCTACTGATAAAGTGATGTTGGAGGCCAAATGGAAGTGGCTGACCTGCTCCCAGCTGATCTTGTTAAGCTCTCTTGGCTGACCGATTCCGCACTCCAGATCCACCTCGTTTCCATGTTCATCAGACAGACCCAAGGAGATGTTGCCAAAAGGTTCTTTGAAGTCTTCTCTGGGCAAAACCTCACTGTCGACACTCTCAGGTGGCATCGTTCTGTGGGGAGAGCTGATTACGGGTCCACTGCACGCCAGGTTCTCCATAAGGTGGATCTCTTTTCGCTGGAGGTGTCTGGGAGAGGAGCACATAGGACACAGCTGGCCACCAGGAAGGGCCCGGTCCTTTTTACATTTCAGGACACCTAGAGCAAAAGAAAGAAGAATTTGTTGTCAAATAAGACCACAAAGCTGAATATTCCAGTGTATGACGTCTGTTCACTAACCTCTAACCCAATAAAAAGAAAGATCTAAATAAATCTTCAGCACAAAAATTAAAAGTCTAACCTAGAGATGTTTTGTCCCAGTCATAGATCCACCTCATGTTGCAGTCACAGGTCCACGGGTTCCCATGGAGGTACAGGTTCTCCAGCTGAGGCATGGTCGCCACCAGCCTGGAGGGCAGAGACATCAGTCCGTTGTCTGACAGGTAGAGGTGCTTCAGCGTGGAGATGTGGAAGTGGCCCATAAGCGTGAAGGTGGTGAAGGTGGCCGGGTGCAGCTGCTGAAGCTGGTTGCCCTCGAGCTGCAGCAGCCGAAGGGAAGTGAGGCCCTGGAAGGAGTCCGGGTGGATGAACTCGAGTCGGTTGTGATCCAGATGTAACCTGGCCAAAGACCACAGACCCTGGAGGGTGTGTCTGTTGATCTCCGTCAGCTTGTTGTAGCTGAGCTTCAACATCTAAACCAATTAGAAACGAGAAGAAATCAAAACATCGTAAACCCTGCCACAACTTTCACACTTTGAAAACTAATTTAGGATGTATGCGTGGCTGCAAGACAAATTTTCTAATTTACTGATTTAAATAAACCTTTTAAGTTCAAAACATTATTTTTGATGGGTTGGGGTGACATAATAATTGCCTCAAATTAATATCATGTGTAATTTAGACTCAAATTTATTTATTAATCAATTTGAAACTAAATTCAGATTGAGATAACTTAATGAAATTGGGTTGATAACATCATTTTTCTTCACCTTGAGGATTCCAAGCTCTCTGGACTACCCACTTTACACTGGAGCAACCTAAATTTTAAACTCTGCCACCATAAAAAAAAAAGAGGCAAAGTTAATCCCCATAACTAAGTTAAAGCAAAACTTTCCTGAGACGCATGAAACATCTTTAATTACACAGAATATTTCTGGTTAGTGTAATGACGTAGCCATATGTCATTCAGTGCAAATGCAATTTTAAGCAATGGGCATGTAAGAAACACTGACACATTAAATGAAAGTTTTAAGGGTAAATCTGTGTTTAAAATGGACATGTTTTAAGTCATGTGTTGTACTATTTCTCTTTTTCACCGTGTCAATACAGAGGAAAAATATCATTAAAGTTGTCTTCAGGCCAAGGATATTTTTAAATGTTCCTTTTGACTCACATTAGCAATTAAAGAATATTTTGACACTTTTAGAGTTGAGTTCTGGTTCAGATTTCAGGTTGATTTTCAGCTTTTAGGCCATAAAAATACAATTGTGAAGGTTTGGAATGAAGAATGAAATTTGCTGAGAGTCAAATGGCTTAATTAATGTTTTGAAATATATAAACTTTATGCTGTAGCTGTATGTAGACACCTATTGGAGATGCCAAAAGAGCATTTTACATAATGTAATGCAAATGAAGGTCTGCAAAATATAAGAATGGCATCTTATAAAAGGTAGAAATAAAGAAATAATCTTTGCAATTCAGTATCTTTCTCAAGGACACTTAAATCTGAGCTACAGTCACCAATCATTAAACATTTTCATTCATGCATCCAGTCAGTGTGCACCTGAAGTGAATTGAGGTCCCTCAATGCTCCATCAGGCAGGTTGTGGATGTCGTTTCCATGTACCATCAGTAGCTCCAGCTTCCTCAGGCCCACCAGTGATTTGTTTGTGATCTTATTAATGCTGTTGAACCTGAAATAACAAAACCAAAGTGGTAATAAACATCAAACCCATTCACTGGAAACAATACATGAAAAATTAAATCGATTGAACTGCAGTAAGTCGATGGTGAGAATTCCAAAAAATAAAGAACTGACCCCAGGTTCATTCGTTCCACATGTTTGGGGACAGCAGCTGGGATGGTGAAGAGGGAGCGGAAGGTGCAGTGGAGCTCAGTGGGCTGAGGGCAGGAGCAGGGCCGGGGGCAGGGAGCAGGAGCGGCAGGGGGCAACAGTGTCAGCACCAGCAGAGTCTGGAGGACGCACAGGGAAGGAGGGTCCATCTTCATCCACGGGGTGAGCAGTCACAGCAGTTGCTTGGGTAGTAACTACAATCACAGCATGTTACCAACACTGACACTGCTGCTATTCTTCGCCCTCTTATTTATGTCAGAGCAAGTTTTAAGTACCGAAATGTACTCTTGTGAAAAAAACAAAAACAAAAAAAAAAAAAACGAGAGGAATAAATCGATCTTGTAATTGTTTAGAGGTAAACTTCATTTACTGTAAAAGCTGACCCGACTTTGGCTCAAGTTTCTTGAGTGACTCTGCCTCCATCACCGCTTGAATGGATGAGCTCCGGTAAATTACGCACGTTGCGCTCAAGCTGGGGATTTCAGCCAAAGTGCTTTCTAAATATTTTATAAACTTCAGCTCAAGTTATTGTTATAAAAAATGTAAACTCTTACCTCAAAACCTTGATAGCCTCTCTCTAGGGAGCTCCTCATATTCCATTTTAACATGGGAAAAAACAAGAAACCGCAAAGTTGATGTAAAAACAGAACAAAAAGTGAAACTATGAGACGAAGGGAACTAAATTTGGTGTTACAAATTGTGAAAACGCTTAGAAAGCAAACCACAAACACAGATTGAAATGCAAAATCCTGAGGAATAAAACTTTGGGTCAAACCCCTAAGCGCCAGTGTGCGCGGTGGACCTACAGACAGGAATGAAGGAGTGAAGCTGCAGCGCTCAACGCGGAGACGCAACAGGAGGAGCCAGGGAAGCTTTTGGAGAGGGCAGAGGAGGATGAAGGAGGCTTCAGGAGTGGTTCCTGACTAAGAATATGATACTGTTTTGCTGCCAAACACATTCTTAAGCTTATGAGTGTAAGAATATTCGGTTAGTGTAGCTGGGATATACTTGGTGAGTCATGTTGAAACTGAAAAATAAGGTTAACCCGAAAAGCTGACCGCAAGACAAGCTGAGAGGGAGCAGCAGGAGGAAATGTGATGAACTGAAGTGTTTAAGGTCCTGGGCTGAGTGATGAGCTCTGCAAACCTTTTCAGCACGTTTCTGTCCTTATTAGCCCCATGACCTACACAGGCTGTGCACTGTCACTGTAAAAAAAAAAAAAAAAAAGAAGAATCTTATGCATTTTTCCTTTTTTTTTAAAATTATTTTTTTTTATTTTCCTTGTATTTTAATTATACATTTATAGAATTATCAAAAAATATAGAAAAATGGGTGAATCTAAGTGCCCTATAACTGTAAATATACATACACGTGTATTATTCTTAAAGAAAACTGATATTCTTTGTCTTGAATAAACAATCACATAAATACATTCACATTTCCTTTTAATTTAAAAGATAAAAGTGTTAAATTCAAGCGTAATATGGTAAATTTATTTCTAAAATTAGATACAAAAAGCGACATATATCACAACCAGAAGTACTCATTAACGTATAATATCTTCAAGCATGGATAATCTGCAGTTATTAGCTATATATCTGCTATCATAAATATATAATTTATTATCATTATACAGGTGATTTTTATTGTGAGTGCACATGTAAATATTATTTATAAAACATTAAAATTAAGGCTAGAAAGTGTATTTTAATCGTGAAATTTCTTAGATTATTATTCTCCATCATTATACAGTATTTTTATGGTGCCCTAGTTGGAAGAAGATTACCTTTTTAAAAGTTTTTCACAGCAATAACAATATACCAGAACTTTAAAGTAAATTACAGTATGTATGTATTCTGGCTTTATCAGTGAATTCCATACCATGATTTTACTGGGTGGAAGGTGAGTTTCTGCCCAAAGCAAAGGAGCTTAAGTATCTTAGGACCTTGTTCACAAGTGAAAGAAAAATAGAGTGTGAGATTAACCTCCGTGGTGAAGAGGATCTACATTCCAACCCTTACCTATAGTTACGAGCTGCGTGTAGCGACCAAAAGAATGACACTGCTTACAGAAGTGGGAGACATACGTTTCCTTAGTATAGCGGCTGGGCTCAGCTGGGACAGCCAGAAGGAGGTCAGAGTAAGTTCACGGCTCCTTTGCATAAAAAGAAGAGGTGGTAGCTGATTACAACGCCTCCTGGGCACCTTCCTTTGGAGGTTTCTGGGCACACCCAAGTAGGAGGTGACCCCGGGGTAGACTAGAACTCACTGAAGGGATTACACATGTCCTGATCTGGGAATGCCTTGGAATTGCTCAGGAGGAACTGGAAAATGTTGCTGGTTAAAGGGACGTCTGGAATGCCTTGTTTAGCCTGCTGCCACTGCAACCTTTCCCTGGATATAAATGCAAGATTAATGACAGCAGCTAAGTCATTTCATGATAGAAAAACTACCTCAGTCTAAGTTAAAGTTACACTAAAGATGAAAAAACTACCTCAGTCTAAGTTAAACTCACACTAAAGATGAAAAAACTACCTCAGTCTAAGTTAAACTCACACTAAAGATTGCTAGTTTAGCAGCCCACTCATTTTTTGATTCCAGCAAATCTTGTTAGATTAGTCACAGATAATGAGGTCGACTATGGGCCCCTGATCCTTTGGGACTGTGTCCATCCAGTAATCTGTCAAAGATGTCTAAAATTGTAACTCAATCCTTTTTTTTACCAAATCCAATATACAGTCATGAACAAAAGTTTATATAAACTTGTAAAGATCGCAGCCCCAGAACAGACTACTGCCACCGCCATGCTTGATTATATGCTTAATGCTCTTGAAGTTAAATCCTCTCCTTCCTGCCTCCAAACATATTTTTGGTCATCATGGCCAAATAACTAATTTTTGTTTCATCTGATGGCAGAACTTTCTTCCAGAAGGCCTTTTCTTTATCCATGTGATCAGCAGCAAACTTCAGTCGAATATTACTGTGCCTCTTAAGGAAGGGCTTCTTCTTTTTTTTGTGTTTTTGCACTTTTAGACTTTCCCACTGTTGTGGTTGTTGCTAAGCCTAATGAGTGTATCAAATGAGCACTGTTTAAATTGGCAGCTGTAGTCAATTGTAATCATGCACAAGAAGTTATAAGGAACATTTGACTAACACAGCTTTTTACATCACCAAAACTGATCATTTAAGTTGGTGTATGTATATTTTTTGACCCAGCAGATTTGATCATATTTCCAGAAGACCTCTAATAAATCTAAGAAAGAACCAAAATGCAGGATTGTTTATAAGCTACAAGATATAAGAAAGCTATAAGAAAACACAGTTTCTCAGAAGATGCTGCAGTATATTATTCAAAGAAAGAGTACACATATACTATTTAGGCCTTATAAAACTGCTATGGCAATATTGTTGAGGATAAAATAATTAGCCATAAAAGCAGTTGTACAGTTTGTTGCCCAATTGAAACATTTTCTTTTTAGCTTAACTGCTTTTGCGGAGGCTGCAAAAGCTTTGTAGGACAGCGTTAGATGTTAAACCCTTTCACATTTGAAAGAAACATTTGTTGAAAATGCATAAATTCTCTATCAAATTGCAAATTGAATTAAATTAAACAAACCTGTTGACACACAGTAAGCCAGGAGCCTTCAGGGCCTCTGGAGTTCGGGGGCTTTGTGGCAGTTTGCAGTCCAGCCTTGTTTACAAGAGCGCGGTTACAATGACAAAACAGAAAAAAAAAAAGAGACAACATTGATATGTTGATCAGACTGTGATGTTTGACAGGTGTTTTAGGGAAACATAACCTGAAGAAAATGAATAAATAGACAGCAGGATATAAACATATTTAGTTGTGATGTGCACTGAATTCACCCATAAACTGTTCTGTCACTGTAAAAGGTGTTAAACTGCTGCGTCTACCACGTCTTCACGCTATGAGTGTAAAAAAGAAGTCAGCTGGGTGCTAAAGTAAACTTGAAAACCCTTTCATTACCGCTGACTCACACATGCACGGCCTGCAGCGTACACCAAGTGGAAAAAAACATGCACAGACACATATACAGACACAAATGCGAGGTATGGGACATAAAAAACAGAAGTTGATAAGATTGCCTGAGGGATAGTTAAGAAAGTCTTCCATCTGCGTCATTCTGTGTAACTGAATGCTGAATATCTTTCTGATATCAACTCCAAAGCTGATTTATATCCTTGCATGATATCATGTGCTGGAAATTTGGGCTCATTTATGTTGACGTTGAATTTCTACTCTGCACAGCTCCTGAAACACTACCTGTGGTATTAGCTTTGGCCCCTGAGCTTCCCTCCTCGTCTCTGGAAGCCTCCGTCACCTACGTGCTGCAGTTTAAAGGCTGGCGGCTGCTGAGTCCAGGCTTTGTGACAGTGTTTAAGTTGGAGGAAAACGGTAGTGGAGGTCAGAAGTGGCAGAGGGACGGTTAGCGGAGGGCCTCTTGTTCCCGCTGCCGGACCGAAAGCCTCCATTCATCATGGTGTCAGTGTGAGACTATAGCACACCTGCACCAAAACCACATGGGAGGAAGACCACTGACCAGACTAGAGCCTCTATTCATTATCAGAGCAGCATGCATCATTTTATCTGAAATAATTCATAGAGATCAGAGCTCAGCTTACATTTCATTCTAAATGCAGGTCTATGTTATGTTTCCTCCAATGATTTGCTGAAGGGCAGATTGAGGTTGCTCCAAGAGGTGGAATTATGAGACCTTTTAACTTAAAAAAAACATCAAACGCCTGTTTGTAATCCGAAAATGGTGACTATTAGTGACAGAGCCAAAGGAATTATCACCAGCTCAACTCTACAGAGATTTTTAGCCTCTATGAGCTGTTTTGATTTTATGGCCCAGAGATTTAGTGTTTTGGTTCGCTTCTCTCATCAACTACATTTCCAGCGGCGGCAGCAGCAGCAGCAGGCAGCTGTTTTCAGTGAAAAGGCAATGAAAAACCCTCTACCTGCTGAGCAGACAGACACTAGCTGGTTAACATGGTGAAGCACTTAGCAGCTAAAGAGGCAAATATTTTTCTAAAGGAGGTTGTGGAGACCAAAAACAGAGCATAAAAAAAGTGAATATTGGACTGCATCAGGTGAACACAAACACAACATGATATTCTGTGTCTGCCAGGTTTTCCTGGGCATGAGGAATTATGCTGAGATCTGAGAATGTGGTAACATCACAATAAATGGGCCAACATACATGCGAAGAGAGGGGGTAATTTTTTTTTACCACCTGACACAAGAGCGTGAGCAATCATGAAGCACTTAAGTTGAGTACAGTTTTGACAAAATAACAGATTAAAATGGGGTTTTCCACATTCAGTTGTCGACTCTCCCCTGCTCAAACCAGCTCAACATCCCATCCCTTCAAGCCTGCAACGAATATTTATGTTTTATCTCATCCCAGTGTCACCTCTCTATCTATTTATGTAGTCTATCTATCAAACCTAGCTGGCTCGAGATAGGGTAGCATGCTTCTTAAAAGGGAAACAATAGGTTGAATGGAAGGAAAGCACCTGACATGAGCAGCCAATGGCAGGCCTGCATCCTACATCTGGTGAGTCAGACTATAAAGGAGCCACCAAGTGATCTAAACTCTTTATTCTGGACGTCAAAATGGCAAGTGAGCATACCTGTTGTCCATCCATCCTTTCTTCGCCAAGGTTGGGTCATGGTGTCAGCAGGCTAAGTTGGGCAAGATGTCCAGCAATGCTTTCCACTTCCTGCTGGGGGAT